TTGTGAGAACAGGTTATATTTCTGATTGTTATATTTCTGGGAGAACAGAGAGTAAAGAACAAGATTATTATGTTTGTTATATTTCTGGGAGAACAGAAATTGGAGAACAAGAGTATTCCGATTGTTATATATCTGAGAGAACAGAAAAATAGGAACAGGCAGATTACTTTGTTGTTTTACAATCCTAAGAGAACAGAGTATGAAGAAACAAGTCAATTCTGCGTGTTATAACAATCTTTGGGAGACAAAAATTGAAGAACAGGTGTATTTTGCTTGTTTTAAATACATTTCTGAGGGAACAGAAAATGAGAAACAGGGAAAAGAAGGGAAGAAAGAGGAAAAAAGGAAAGTAAAGGAAAGGAAAAGAATCGAAAAGGAAGAGAAAAAAAAGGTAGAGAAAAGAAACGATGGAAAAGAGAAGGAAAGAAGTGAAAAAAGGGAAGAAGAAAGAGAAAAAAGGAAGAAGAGAACAAAGAGAAAGAAAAGGGGAGAAAATGAAATACAAAGAGGAAGAGAAAAAAAGAGTCATTGTATCTCTCTTATTCTAACCGTTTTTTTGTTAATTCCCGAAGGCCATATGCGCCCCACAATGGACCGAGAAAAGGAAATGACAGGGAGTGAAGAGAGAGAGAGAGAGAGAGAAGAAGAGAGAAGAGGAGAGAGAGAGAGAGAAGAGAGAGAGAGAGAGAGAGAGAAGAGAGAGAGAGGGAGAGAGAGAGGAGAGAGAGAGAGAGAGAGAGACAGAGTGAGAGAGAGAGAGAGAGAGAGAGAGAGTAGGGAGATAGATGATCGATAGTAGGATAGATAGATAGATAGATGAGATAGATACGATAGAATAGATAGATAAGATAGATGAGAGAGAGAGAGAGAAGAGAGAGAAGAGAAGAGAAGAGAGAGAGACAGAAAGAGAGAGAGGAGAGACTAAGATAGCAGAGAGAAGAGAGAGAGAGAGAAGAGAAGAGAGAAGACGTAGAGAGGATGACAAGACAGTGAGAAAGGAGAGAGAGAGAGAGACGATAAGAGAGTAGATGATAGACTATAGATATGGTAGATAGATACGAATGATGAGAGAGAGAGAGAGAGAGGAGAGCGAGAGAGGAGAGAGAGATAGACAGATAGAGGAGAGCAGAGTCGAGAGAGCGAGAGAAGAGAGAGAGGAGAGTAAGGAGAGAGTAGGAGAGATAGATAGATAGATAGATTAGATAGATAGATAATAGATAGATGATAGAATAGATTAGATAGATTGATAGAATAGATAGTGAGAGGAGAGAGGGAGGACAGAGAGAGAGAGAGACATGAGAAGAGTGGTCAGAGAGAGATGAGAGAGAGAGAAGAGAGAGAGAGAGAGAGAGGAGAGTAGAGGAAGAAAGAGAGAGGACAGAAGGAGGAACAAGAAAGAGGGAGGAGAGCAGAGAGAGATAGAGATAGACTAGATGAGATAGATAGAATAAGATAGATAGGATAGATAGGATTAGATAGAGAGAGGAGAGAAGAGAGAGAGAGAGAGAGAGAGGATAGAGAGAGAGAGAGAGAGAGAGTGAGAGAGAGAGAGAGAGAGAGAGGAGTAGGAAGATAGTAGGTAATTAGATAGATAGAATAGAATAGATAGATTGATAGATAAGAGTGAAAGAGGAGAGAGAGAAGAGAGAGAGAGAGAGAGAGAGAGAGAGGAGGGAGAGCAGAGAGAGAAGAGAGAGAGAAATGCGAAGGAGGCACAGGAGGCTTTATTCCAATCCTATTCCTTCCTCTGGCTTTGACACAGAGTGAGGGGGAGATTGGGAGGTTGAGAGAGGGAGGGAGGGGTGGAGGGAGGGAGGGAGGGAAAGGGATGAGGGAGACAGAGAATAAAGGGCGAAGAAGGGAGAATGGGGAGGGAGAGGGAGGGAGGGAGGGAGGGGTGGAGGGAAGGGAAAGGGAGAGGAGACAGAGAATAAAGGGAAAAGAGGGAGGGAGGGAGGGAGGGAGGGAGGAGGGAGAGAGAGAGAAGAGGGAGGGAGGAAGGGAGAGAGGAGAAAGAGAGAGAGAGAGAGAGAAGAGAGAGAGAGAGAGAGAGAGAGAGAAGAGAGAGAGAGAGAGAGAGGAGAAGAGAGAGAAGAGAGAGAAGACAGACAGACAGAGACAGACAGAGAGAGAGACAGACCAGACAGACAGACAGACACAGACAGACAGAGACAGAGAAATAACAGAGAGAAGAAAAAAGAAAAAAACAAAAGAAAAAAATCAAAACACATCAAGAAAGAACACACAAAAATATAAATCGAATTCTAAAAACAAAACAACAAAAAAAACATCAACCCCATTTCTAAAAAAAAAACAAAAACATCAACCCCCCACCCACGACCCCCCCAACCCCCGACCCCACCTGGCACTCACCCCATCCTATCGTGTAATAGAGAGGGAAGGGCGCCCCCGAGTCGAAGACGTTGGAGGTCAACCTCGAGTGGAGGAACAGCCCCTCGACGAACATCCAGTTGATAGAGGCCATTTGTGCGTACATCCTAATGGCGAGAAGGGTCTTGCAGAGCCAGTCCTGGGGCGTGGGAGAGAGAGAGAGAGAGAGAATAAATGGGGGGAATAGAAGGGAAATGGAAGAAAGGGAGAGGAGGAGGAAGGGGAAGGAAGGAAAGAAAGGAGGGGCGTGGGGTGAGAGAGAGAGAGAGAGAGAGAGGAGAGAGAATGGAATGGGAGGAATAGAGGGGAAATGGATGAGAAGGGAGAGAAGGAGGAAGGAGGAGGAAGGAAGAGAAAGGAGAGCGTGAAGAAGGGGATAGAGAGAAGATGGAAAAGGGAGATATAGAGAGAGAATGGAGAGAGAGGATGAATGGGGGAGATAGAGGGGAATGGAAGAGAAGGGAGAGGAGAAGGAGGAGGAGGAAGGAAGAGAAAGGAGAGGCGTGAAGAAGGGGGATAGAGAGAAGATGGAGGATGAAGGGAGATATAGAGAAGAGAATGGAGAGAGAGGATGGATGGGGGAGATAGAAGGGAATGGGAGAGAAGGGAGAGGAGGAGGAAGGGGAAGGGAAGAGAAAAGGAGAGGAGGAGAGAAAAGGAAGAAGGGAGATAGAAGAGAAGAGAAATGGAGAGGGAGAGAGAGAGAGAGAATAAATGGGGGGAATAGAAGGGAATGGAAGAGAAGGGGAGAGGAGAAGGAGGAAGGAAGAGAAAGGAGAGGAGAGGAGGAGAGAGAGAGAGGATGAATGGGGGAGATAGAGGGGAATGGGAGAGAAGGGAGAGGAGGAGGAAGAGAAGAGAAACCAGAGGAGGAGGAGGAAAGGAAGAAGGGAGATAAAGAGAAGAGAAAGGAGAGGCGTGGGAAGAGGATGAATGGGAGAATAAAGGGGGAATGAAGAAAAGGGAAGGAGGAGGGTGTGGAAGAGAAAGGAGAATGAATGGAGGATAAATAATGGGAAAGAAAAGGAAGGAGAGGAAGAAGGAAATTAAGAAAGATAGAGAGAGAGAAGAGAGAGAGAAAAAAAAACAAGAGACAGAAAAAAAGGCTAAAAAAAGATAGAGGAGGGAGGATAAAAAATGATCAGAGGAAAAGAAAAGAAAGAAGAAGAAGAAAAAAAAAACATAAACAAAGGAGACTGAAAGAGGAGAGATATTAAAAGAGAGAGAGATAGAAGAAGACAAGATAAAGAAAAAACGATGAAGAGACAAAAAAATGAAGAAAAGAAAAGAGAAGAAAGAAAATGAAAGTAAAGAAGAAAAGAAAAAAAGAAAACAAAGAAGACAGAAAAAGAAAAGAAAAAAAAAAAGAAAACTAAAGAAAGAAAGAATAAAGAAAAAAAGAATAAAAAAGAGAACACAAAAAAGAAAAAAAAATGAACGATAATATCGCAAAGACGAAAGAAAATAGAAACAAACAGGAAAAAGAACCGAAGCAAAAAAAAAAAAAAAAAAAAAAAAAAAAAAAAAAAAAAAAAAAAAAACTTAAAAAGCGAAAAATTGTATATAAATAACATAATTCTTCGATTAGTTGCCAATTTATCCAAAAATAACATTACTGAATAAACCAAAATGTCGTAATGATATAAAAGAACTATAAAGATAATCCGAACATCATGATATAATATGAATATAATAATCCATTAATAAAGATATAAGAAAATAAAGATATAAGAATATGATATGATAAAGATATAAGAATATGAGATAAAGATAAAGAATATAAATATAAGATATAAGAAAATATAAATATAAAGAATATAGATTAAAGATATGAGAATATAAATAAAGATATGATAATAATAATAAAGATATAAGAATATATAAGATAATGATAATAATAATAATAAATAGATATAAGAATATAAATAAAGATATAAGAATGATAATAAAGATATAAGAATAATAAAGATAAGAGAATATGACAATACTATATTGATAATCCAAATGATATAATTATGATGTACCGATAATCCAGATGCTAATGATAATGGGATAAAGATAATCCAAGTGATATCATAATATACTGATAATATAACGATAATCTAATAATAATGAGAATATTGATCATCGATAATTATTAATAATGATATTAAGTATTTTTAATATATTAAATTAATAATGATGATATATGATAATACTTGATAATAATAATAAATAATAATATGATCATCGATAATTATTAATAATGATATTAATAATTGATAATGATATTAATAATTAATAATGATAATATATGATAATACTTGATAATAACAATAATAATATGATCATCGATAATTATTAATAATGATATTAATAATTAATAATGATATTAATAATTATATATAATAATTGATAATTATTAATAATGATATTAATAATGATTAATAATGATCATCGATAGTCCAAATATAGTAATATAATGATAATCCAAATTATATGATTTAAATGCTATGATAATGCGATGGTAATAATCTAAATGCTATGATAAGGATTATAATGATATAACATAATGATGATAAGGATTTAATAGTAATAGATTTAATAGATTTGATTTAATTTAGATTTAA